CTTGGTGCTCCGCTCATATTCCTCATAATTAACCCATCTTGGCACAGTTCGGCCTTCCTGATTTTATAGCTCTTTGAAAGCAAGGCCCATATTTTTCTCAGAATCATTGTAGTAGCTAGGGCCTTCCTTACACTGATCCTTTCCCCAAATCCTGCAGTGTCCGGTTAGCAAAGCCTCAGGACAGGCTGTGAGCCGAGTCCACGAATTAGAACGTGCTGTCCACCAGGGAGACTGGGTACGGCACAGTTCCTGCAAGAACACCATGAGGAAGAGAAACAGAACACAGAGAGTCCTTCGAAGCAAGACAAGAGTTTGAAAGGACTCCTTCCCATTCCAGGTATCCAGCCCCTGCTTTCTCTGTCACCACAGTGGATTCTATACACACACGCTTGAGTCAGATCAATAACACTGAGCCAGCTTTGTCCTCCACAGTGGAACTCAGGGCTCCCGAGATGCAAGATGGAATTATTTTCCAAGTTAGAGCACACCAGCAGAAGCATTCGGTACAGACAGATTTCCTAAGAGCTTTGACAGAGGTACAAAGCCACCTTTAATTGTACTAGATCACAATCTTTATATTTTCTTTTTTCAAAGCAGTTGATCCTCCTCCCTGTTAGTGAGCCAAGCACAGGAGTCATTGTACTAGACTGCCTGTAGGTTCGCCTCAAATTGGTCAGCTTTCTGTCACTGCAGTAAATATCTTGCAAAATTAACTTACAAAGAGGAAAGTATTTTGGCCCACAGTTTTGGAGGCTTTACATAATTGATTATCCCCTTCACTTTAGATTTATGGTGGAACAACACATCAAGTCAGATTCACTCACCTTCTTAGCAGTCCCATAATTCCCTATAATGGTATGCTCCCAGTGACCTAAAGACCTCAAATTAGGTCCCATCTCTTAAAGGGTCCACCATGTCCAATTGCACCATAGGCTTTAAACTTGATTGCAGAACTAAGGAGACTGACTCTACAAGATCATCTCTTTAAAAAGCCCTTGGCCTAGAGCAGTCGCTTCTGGTTAGCCTTATGAACATCAGGAACAAAGAGAGGACCCCCTATTCCTGTGACTTCATTTCTCTTTTAGTTCCCCCGACTCCATGTATAGAAAACAAAACTTGCTGGGCATTGTGGCACATGCTTATAATCCCAATATCTGGGAGGCTGAGTCAGAAGGAGTACATGAGTTTGAGGGCTAGCCTGGACTACATAGAAAACCATTGTTGAGGGAGAGAAAGCAAGCTTTCAGTACTAATTGGAATATTCCTAGAATCTCCTCTGCAAGGTCTATGACCCATATTCTTAGGCACCCACCCACATCCAGACAGCCTGCCATCTGTGCTTCTTTTTAATTAGGGAGCAAATACCACACAAGTTGCCTTCTCCTCTGGTTCCCTGTGATCACTCAGCCAGACACATCCACCCTCAGAGTCCATTACTATCTCCTCTAGTTCAACTACCCACAATTAGCCGGTGCCACTTTGTACTGGGGGATTAGCAACAGTCTCCTGAAACTGTTTAAATCGATTGGCAGAGCCTCAGGTTTAATGAGCCGAGGGGGAGGTTAGACTGTAGGTTTCACAAGCTGCAGCTTCTAGCCAAGTTAATTACCACCCTCTGTGGAATCCACATCAGCCCGAGCTTTAGACAAATGGGGAATTTTATCACATTTCAGGACTCTGCATGATCATGATAGGTGTGTGCCATGTGCCCATATACCAGGCTATGCTAAAGGAGGGAACATCCGTCAAAATGGGCATTAACCGCAGTGAAACTGTGAAAGAAAATGTCCTGTGATACCCAGTGTGACAGGAAGTAACTTGGGGAACTACTGCTGTCACCACTCGAAGCTGCATGGAGTGAGTGGGGACACGACAGTTTTCTATCCCTTCTTCAGCCCTGGTCATCCCTCTTGCGGAGGGGCTGCCATCCGCCCACACTGTGGGCAGTGAAGTGTGGGTAGTGGAGGTGGTGGTGGTGGTGGTGGTGGTGTGTGTGGGGGGGTGTCTCAACTGGTCTTCCCACCAATCCTTAGCATCCCACTCATCAAACACTCCGGAAGGACACGGTCTCTGCCACCCAGAGCTCACACATTCTTAACTTGACTACAAAGACTGACAAGATCTCACCGCAAGCACTGAGAAGGTGAGCATTGTTCAAGCTGGGGGGCCTGGCGCGCTGGAGTTTACCTAGTCTTGATTAATAAGTAGCGCATCCCAGAGCAGCCTTGGGGGCCAGGGTTCCAAGGGCTGAAAGGGCACCGTGCAAGAGCAAGTAGGGAACTAAGCAAGCCAGGAGCTTCCCAGGGTGCAAAGGGTGAGGAAAAGGAAAAGTGTTGCTCAGGACCCCAAGACAAAGTCCTCAGACCAAGTTCTCAGCACAAAGGAGACTTTTTTGCCCCAGAGGGACAGAGGGCAGGGAAAAGAGACAAAGACAGGAGACAGAGGACAAGGGAGAAGGGGACGGGAACAGGGAGAGGTAGAAGGGGTATTTGTCCCAGAAGGACAAGGGATTGCCTCTGGAGAGAGGAGACAGACATGGCCCATAGGAAAACGGCGGTTTATAAAGACACAGGGGGAAACCCTGTGTTAGGATGAGGTGTCTAATTTTAATTGGACATGTTAATTAGGTGAGCCAAAGGGGGTCTTGATTGCTGAATCCCAACACTTCAGTAGCTGGACCTTGGTGGTCAGCCCCAGGAGGAGGAAGTGGCCAGAAAAGGGACTAGACCTCGGTGTCTAGCTTTAGGAGTGTAATCGGATGGTTTTTAGCAAGGCAGAGGGAAATGGGGAGAAATGCATGGCCTGCTAGTGCCACATGCTCCAGTGGGCTAATGTCCCATCAGTGAATGGTCTGTGTAGCCTGGGGGTGTCTCTTACTCCAGATCAAGATTTGGGAGCTGCATGGGGAGTGAGTTGGTAGAGTGCGCTCATAGCATTCACAAGTCCCTGGGTGAGACCCCCCCAGTACGGGGGGGGGGGGGGAGCTTGAGGCTGGGGAGATAGATCGGTGGGTAAAATAGTTGTCATGAAGAGTGAGGACCTGGGTTCAGAATCCAGAACCCATTTAAAAGCTAGATGCCCTCGAGTGCGTCTGTAATCCCAATGCTTCTGTGGTGAGATGTGAGGTGGAGACAGGACCCCTGAAATTTAGCCTGGCATGTGAAGTGGTGAATGAGAGACAGCCTCATGAACAAGGCACACACACGTGCATCCACATATGCCGACAGATATTCTCTCTCTCTCCTCTCTCTCTCTCTCTCTCTCTCTCTCTCTCTCTCTCTCTCTCTCTCTCTCACACACACACACACACACACACACACACACACACACACACACACACAGTCTCTTATACATGGAAAGAGAGCTTTTAAAACAAAAGAATTTGGATTCTTCAAACATCCAGTTAAAAAATGTAGGACATTCATGACGTCAGATGTGGTGGCACACACTTTTAATTTAAGCACTCTGGAGACAGAGGAAGGTGGATCTCTGTGAGTTCGAGGCCAGCCTGGTCAACGTAGTGAGTCCCAAGCCAGCACTACATAGTGAAACCTTGTCTCAAAAAAGAAAATAAAATTTTAAAAAATAAAATGTAAAAAATGCTGTATTGGAGAACCACTGTAAGTGTTCAGAGAATGGCTTAGATCAGAAAGGTAAACAGCTACTGTTGGGATAAACAGGAGGTAAGGCCATGCAATGGCTAGTTCTTCAAATCCTAAGGACTTCTGATAGGGAGTTGATTGGTTGAGACATAACCACATAATTCAAGCAGCAGGATCAGTAACAGGCTAAGAACTGCTTGAGTGTTCTAGATTTACCAAGAGCAGCAACAGCACACACACACACACACACACACACACACACACACACAAACACACCAGCCAGCCTTCCATCTGGGTTCTGTGGGATCTCCCATCTTGCTGTTCTGATGAGAGGTTATAATGTCTACTAAAAGTAACCCCCTACGAGTCATCTTGCTTCTTCATCAACCAGGGTCCTTGGATTGTTTCTGCAGAGAAACAATTGTTTCTGAATCCACTACACTGGTATGGAAAAAAACATTTTTCTTTTTAAAATTCAGAGATGGATGTCCACCCTGTCTAGGCAACACAAAGCAAAATGTCTATCTGCAATGGAGGAGCCAGAGGTTGGAGCGTTGGCTGCTCTTGCAGAGAATGGGTTTAGATCCCAGTACCCACATGGTGATTCACAACCATCCATAACACCACTTCCAGGGGATCCGATTCTGACTTCCACTGACACCAGGCACAATCATAGTGCAGACATACATGCAGTCAGAACACTCACACCCCAAAAATAATCTAAAAATTTTTGTTAACAAAATACAGTGCAATGGATTATAAGCTGTTGTTCCTGGAAAAGGCCAACCACCTCATTCACAATAGGAGCCCCGAAGCATGGTGTGGTCAAGCTGGACTAGCAGCACCACATTAATGGGGTGTTAAATAGAAAACATGACACAGGAAGCAGCCTGCAAGTTCTAATGCTTCTCGAAGCTGCATCATCACAGAGGCCAACATTTCTCCAACAGAAACAAGATGGATTTGAGGCAATCCTCTGTGTAATTGTGAGGTGTAGTACTAGCCCTACTTTAATATATCAGTGTATACTAGATTAATGAGCTCTCGAATTCTGAGCCACACAAGCCTGGTATTAATGACTACAAGACCTGTTAAGAGTAATTCAGAACATTTGCTAAAAATAAATAAGTTCTGATCCAGAGAATGGCGCCCTGAAGAAGGCTTGTTTTCTTGCTATGTTGCCTTTGACATTCCAGGTGACATTATTTATGCCTTAAAGGCTTCTGCTACTGCTGAAGTCGGTGATTTATGTCCCAGCTCTCTGTAAAGTCACAGCCTTACTTCTTGAGACTGGGCCCTCCTTCCATGAGCTTTACGGCTTCTGTGTCCGCTAACCTCTCCAACACTTCTAGGCTTGGGAGAAGAAAGAAAGTCCACACACAATGAACACTCTCCGAATTGTTAAAAAGGCATTTTATTATAAATACATTTTAGTTGTAGCAGTAAAATACATTTTGTGTTACCATGAATCTTTTAAAACAAAAGAACTTCACTGACAATGATCACACCATAGACTCCCGGGCTCAAAACATGTCTTTAGGAAGTAGCATAAGCTAAGGGACTCCAATATCCAAGTGAGGAAAGGTTAAGAAAGGAGAAAAGAAAAGCCTTGGAGGACAGCTTTGGGGCTTATCTTAATGTACAAAATCATCTTCACTTTTAAGAACAAACTCTTCAGGTAATAGGGCCTCCCAGATGAGGTATGATATACTGCAAAGGAACATAGTCATTGCTATTACTTTTGCTGTAGATTATGCTTAATTAGATGCTGCATACGTGGTGCTTGTAACACAAATGGACCAGGGTGGTTTTATATATGGCCTCCCTTATGAAGGCTTTTCCAATAGAAGACCCAGAATGAATCTACCACGTGACTGATCCTATCCACCACTGACCACATTTAGAGAATTGTATTTTTTTTTTAAACATTAAAAAGAAAGATCCTGTGTCACTAACGATTAGGACTCTACTAAAATGCAAACCCCATTAGCTTTATAATTTAGAGAAAGTATTTGAGCCACTCGATTCCCCTGGGATGCAACTATCACATATAACCAGTACCTTTATGGGTTTCAAAGAATCAGGTCAGATGGTGGGCACAGAAACCAGATACAGTACTTGATGTACATAATGTCATATACAGATTTCTAGGAGCAGGTGAGGTTCTGATACCTGAAAATCCAGGACCGTTCCTCTGTATGTGTGGGAAGGGGTGTTGGGGAGAAACTCTCAAGTATAACTGACACTTTGGGACTTCAACCTGGATGAAAGAGTCCTCTGCCCTCCCTAAAGATACAAAGGGTTATCATGCAAGACAAATCGCAAATAAACCAAAGTCCCTCATGAGCTGGGGGTGCGTTGAGGAAGCGGTGCTGAACACACACACCTGCAACCTGCAGCCAAAGCTTCCCGGGCCGTTCAGGTAGTAAGTACTGGGGGCAAAAATTCTAAAACTGTGCGTTCTAGGATGGCCACTGTGTATACTTCTACACCTATGCCGTTCTACATTCTATTACCTTAAACATAGATTCATTTTCTTGCTAGTAACAGTAAATTCAAAGCCAAACTAAACACAAGAAGCAGAGCCCAGTACCCACAGAGCTGCAGCCCAGGCTGAACATGAAACACAATACACAAATGTGAAAATATCCAAAGACCTGTCAGGTTTATTATGCTGTAGGAAGTTTCTTTCTCAAAAATAACTTGCTCATCCATGTCTGCTTTGACTTAGGAGTCACTCATGCTGTGGAGGGGGTGTGCTCCCCTCAATTCTTCTATAAACATACAAAGTTCTTCAAGGTAGCAAGGGAATCAGAAACGATTGCTTCTTTTCTGCCACATACACACCCATGCTCTCCCTAACACCTACCTGCTGGTATGGCAGAGAACCCAAAATAACTTTGTTAACCTGAGAAACATATAATATGAAAGTAAATTCTTTGCCCTCGCCCCCACACATACCAAAGAAGACGAAGAAGAAAAAAAGATGAAAAGCTATAGACTCCATTAATTGGGGACTACCCAAAGTTTCTGATGCTCCATGTCACTGCTGCCCTACGACAGGGACTCCTGCACTAAGAGCCCCAGTAAGTGCACACACACTCTTGAGGCATCTGATGGCTTCTTTCCACAATTCTGTCCCCCAAGTGTAGGGACCAAGGTTGACTCTAAGCACATCCCACAAATGCACAGCTTCCAGACAACAGCCAGGCAGCTGCATCCTTAACAACAAACTCACCCTAGAAATGAAAGCGCCCCTGCATCCTAAAAAGGAGACACAGCAGAGACCCCAAAGGTAGAGAGAGCTTTTTCCATGAATGGGCCACTTGTGGTGTTAGAATGACTAAAATGACCCGAGAGTAAAGAGATGAGGAACCCCCTGACTTTCTCTAGACCAGTGGTCTTCAAAGTGCGCTCCCTGGACAGCTGTGTGGCCCCCCTGCGGGTGGGTACAGCAACCTGCATCTCAGCAGCCGTCCAGGGAGAGCTGAGGCTGCCTTCGGCTTCACAATCACTTTTTTTTTTCTTTTTTTGCTCGAACTTGCTCACAATTCTAAAATCTTAAAATACGATAGATTTGTAAATAGCTATCACTGTATGTATTCTGCCACCCATCCCCCCTTCACTTTCAAACATTAAAATAGTAAAACAATTATTCCATAAAAATCAAAAATTTCTTAAAAGGTAATATTGATTCCCTTTCCCACACATCCTTCTAAGGCAGGCAGCCACATGCTATTATGCTAAATAAAGTACAGAGGTAGAAATAGCCAAAAGACCCCAAAAACATACTGAAAATCTCATAATATTGTTTAATGAACTCATAGAATGATATAAAACTTACTATGCTTTATGTTTAATATTTGTATCAAAATAAAATCTCTCTGTTGAACAAATTGCAAGTAAAGTCTGGTCTACCACTCTGATGACTGAAACTACAAGGCTTTCTCTGGAAACCCATTTCAGAAAGCTTCAGGCTACCCCTGTATAAACGGGCTGGGACTTCCCCAAGGCTTACAAGCTGAAGTCTCGATTCTATTAGGTACCTCCCTTACAAAACATTTTTTAAACAGGGAGGGTTTTTTTAAAGATCACTCATGAGTAGGTAATTTCAGTAGGTTCAAATGTCTGAATGTTACACTAAAACTTAAAAAAAAAAAAAACCTGTCTAACCTGATATTCTAGCCTAGAGCTGTTGACATAATACCACTTTCTGGTATCTTATTAGAATGTCAAATGCTAGCAAAAATCTCCCCCTTTCAGTGGTCTTGGGGTTGCTAATTAAACAGGGATGAAACTGGCGAGTGTGAACTTAGCAGCCTTGCTGTCAAGTCTCAGAGGGAAATGTGAAGAAGCCGACATGATGCATACTTCGTCTGGGTACATGATACCGTGGGGGACATCCGGAGGGCTATGCTGAACAAGAGGTCCTAGCTAAAGCATCACTCACACTTCTTCTCATTTCTAGGCAGTTTGAATATCGATCAAAGGACAAGGGAGATCTCCCAGGACATTTGTACCCAGAAGAAAAAGACACACAGGGTGATGGTAGAAGCATGGTCTTCATATGTTGAGGGGAAGGCAAGAAAAACATTGTCTATTTGATAAGAAAAGACAAGCTTAGCCATGAGGAAGTGGAGAGGTGGGTGGGAAGGGATGAACAGCCTAAATATTTTAAAGCAGTAATGTATATATTTTACTATATGGGAAGTTTTAATCTTATGTTTTTATAGAATTTTTCTATTAACAAAACTTTCCACTATGCAATGATTCTTTCACACAATGATTTTTCTCCTAAAAAAAATCAACTATTTTAGGAAATCTAACTCTTTCCACGACCATAGTTGAAATACTCAGATTTAACCTAAAATTGTTTTCATATCCTGGCTCTTAGTCACAGTGGCTAGAGATATGTTCTTTTATGTTTTCAGTTTGCTCTCCAAATGAAACATATCAAACAGAACTATCAACCACACTAGGCAACATAACACAACATACGAGCTCAAGGTTAGAAAGACACAGCTTCTTCAGGACTTCAATGCCTTCAGAAACAAGGAAACCTCTTACATACGCAGGCTTTAGAGGCTGCTGTGTTTAATTGGGTAATGCTTATTCCACAAGATTTCTGCTTATTTTACTTACCCTGCAGTTCTCTGAGCAGAAAAGATCAGTTGATGCTCAGACCAAACCTGAACTTATCCCAGAATCTTAATTAGAATGAAACAAAAGCAAAAGAACCCACACTAGACAGTTTGATGTTTTCCTCATACAACATAGCCTGCCCACACCGAAAGCATGTCTGTGTCAAGACAGGAAGACCGAGGTCATTAGTTTGAATGGTCAATAATTAACTACTGATTGAGCAAGGACAAGATATTATAGCAATGGCAGAGCTAGAATGGACTTCTTTGAAAAACACACCAGGAAAAAATCCAGGATACAGTGAATGAGGTTGATCAACTCTCAACAGGAACTTATTTTTCAATCAAGAGGGGAAGGGGGATCAAACTTAGCATGAACACTATGAATGATCACATAAAAGAATGAAAGAAAGAAAAAGATGCAGGAAGGAAGGGAGAGGAGGGAAAGAAATACTTCAAGTTGTAGTGAAATGACTAAAATTAGTACTGGCAGGGACAGGGAAACTCCACTGAACAAAAGAAAAAGAAATCATAAAATGACCTCAAGAGAAATCCATCCAGAAGAAAAGGGCATCACAGAGTTATCAAGTTTTCTTAAAAAAAAAACAAAAAAAGAGGGTGTGCTTATGTATGTAAACAAACACACACACACATATATATATATCACACACACACACACATGTGTGTGTATGTTCCGTCTGAGCTCTAAAGTTGAATCTGAGAAATGAAATAAGCTATTTTCATGACAGTGACTAACCCTGCTAATACTAGCCAAGTAACAGCGAAGGGCCAGCAGGGAGAACTCACAATGGTTCTTCTGGTGGGATCTGCCGAAGACTGTTATAAAATGCTGCTGGTCATGAGTAACAGGCTCCTTTGAGCCCTGATGGGAAGACAGACACTGGAAATCGGGGAGCAGGACTAAAATAAGCCTGTATGCAGAATAGGAAAACACGGAGACAAATCCTCTACTAGCTGCAGAATCAAGAAAGAGATGGGAATACTCAGACATTCACAACGCAGCAGTCACAAATAAGTAGCTAGTGTCATTTCTTAGAAATAATCACTTTGAGGATGTCACTGCATTCTGATGGGTTCCTCGTCCAAAGTGTCCCACCATCAGTGTTTTTATATAAGATGATAGGGCATAGCACATGTGACTTTAACTAAACATAAATAATTTAAAAACTGATATTTTTTTAAAGGTTCAAGTATGAGAAACAGAAAACTAGGCAATAATCTGCTCATGAGAGGGGAACCAAAACAGTATAGTTCTGTCTGAATTAGCAAAATGGCTCTGAACACTTGCCCAGCGTGTGCTGCTGTCCTGTGTGTCTGCATGTGTGGAGGTGGGGGCTCTCACCGATGGGACATACAGCCTCATCATGGGGGAGTCCTACTTCTTGTGTGGGCACAGAGTTAGAAAACACAGAGCCCTGTGGCAAAAGTTGTCTTGTTCAGCCTAAAACATGCCCAGCAATATGTGATGATGTCACATCATGCAGAGAGTGTGGTACCCTTGTTCACTAGATCCACTCTCCTGCTGTGATTTGTACTATCCATTAACACATCTCCAGTTTGTGGGTCCACATCTGCCACCTCAAAAGAGGTGGTCAGCCTGAGACAGGAAGTCAGGTACCAATGGCTCAGCCCTGAGCACAAAGGTGGAACTGAATCAGAGGCTGCATCACTGGTCCTAGAGTTGGCTAGCCCTTAACCAACACAGCCTTTTATCCCACATTGTCTAGGGGCTCCAGGAGGCCATAGATGGCTGCCACAGACTAACCCCTACTCATACAGATGTAGTAATTCTACCTTCCCCTTGCCGCTTTCAACCCAGTTAAAAAAGTTCTCTCAAAAGAGTCTTCCAGAAAACTGTGCTCGAATGATCATCAGGAAGGTGGGCTCTTTTGAAATATCCCCTGGCCTCATCTTAATTTAAAAAGAAAAAAAAAAAAGATATATTATAGTCTCAAGATATCTCAGAAATATAAGATCAGAGCTACAGGATCAGGAGCCGATAAGGACATTCATTACTTCAAATGTGTCAAAGAACACATGGAAAGGACGGCCTCTTCCTCCCTTTCCATGTTCATTCAAAACAACTGTCAGGCTGCAGACTACTGCAGACAGTTGTTTAAATTTCTTATGTTTACTGAGTTCAAGGGGGAATTTCTGAAGAATCAAAAGATACGAAACATGCCCTAGATTTGATCGATTTTTGGACAAACACTGTTTTTTTCTTTTATGATCTTCCTCACACAGAACAACTAGAAAAATATTAGAATTGCCATGTGTAATGTCATATCTTAATGTAAACATCAAATAAGGTACCAAAATTTTCACTGGAGGAAAAGAAACCCAAACCTTTAGTCGGCACAGTTCTTTTTGCCCTGGAGGAGGGGCCAGGCTACAAACACTTACACATGCAGAATGAGAAAGAAGATTTTTTTTCACTAAATTCACGCAGTTTTAAAATAGTTATCAAGTCTACTAAGCACCAACAATCCTAAAAATTTTTCAGCTTCATGATTTGTTTAAAAAACAAACAAAAACAAAAAAACAAAAACAACAACAAAACCACACTATCAAATTAACATTAAAAACAAGCTGTAAGTGTTCCTTCTCCAAAAAACCAAAACAACAAAACTAATAAATATGCCACTGGGTTTGGGGTTGCTGATTTTTTTGTTGTTGTTGTTGTTGTTTTTGTTTTCTTCTTTTTTTTCTTTTTTCTTTCTTTTTTCTTTTTTTTCCCACATTTCAAAACCCAATGGCATACAGAATACACGGGCAAAGAAGGCCTTGACCTTTACCCTACGCTGATGGAGAGAACAGCATGTCACAGATAATCTAAAACTCTGAAAGTTTTAGAATACAGCATCCTGTCACCAAAAAAAAAAAAAAAAAAAAAAAAAAAAAAAAAAGCTGATAAAGTATTTAGAAGATGCTGCCCCTTTATTTAAAAAAAAATTTTAAATGAATTTAAGCAAAAATAACATACATTTGTACAACAACTGGCCATTTCTGGTACAGAAACCCAGCATGTGGTAATATTATTGAATAAATGTAAATGCTACTTAACATTTTTTTCTTTTTAAATACATTTTAGACAAATTTTTTTTCTTTTTCTTTTTTTTAATAGTTGCACAATTAACCTCTTAGCTGCTAGCTTGATGCAAACATATGTAACAATACACAAATTTAAAAATATTTTTATTCTACATAAAAGCTGTCAAAGTTCTGACTCACATCAAAAATGCAAAGTAATGGAATATACTTTTAAACTTAGGCGCAGGTCTAGCAGCAAGGGGGCCGAGTGAGCGCGCGGTCAACATTACGCAGAGACTGTGCACAGAGGAACCTGCCACCTCAACCCTACGACAAACTCGACCTCAACACTCTGAGAGTGCGTGCTGTCACTTGAAGTAGGAGTAGAAGCCGTTGCTGCCCGGGCTGCTGCCCAGGCTGAGCTCCTGGAACAGGGACAGAGGGTCGCTGCCCTTCTTGGCCTGCTCGGGTGGCGGTCTGGGCTTGGGCGGGGCCCGCAGCGCGCTGGCATAGGACATGGCGGGCTTGCTCCCTGCCGGGCTCTGCTGGCTGCTGCTGTTGGCCGACTCTGCGATCTGCTTGTTGGGCAGGAGGGGTGGGAACTGGCCAAGGTGCTGCAGCACCGTGTAGTTGAAGGAACTGGACACTTCCGTGCCTTCAGGCTTCAGCTGATCCTCAGCGGGCTTGACAGTCTTGGGTGGTGCTAGGAACAGAGAACAGCGACAGGGTTAACCAGAGACGCAGGAGCACAACCTGCTCATGGCCTCCTCCTTCCCCGGGAACGCAGGGATTGTTTAGCCCCAGCACACACAACTTTGGCCACAAGATGTGAAACCACACTTTGAACCCGGCTCCTGAAGAATCATCCAGAAAGAGCACCCACTGCACAGAAACCAATGTCAACAGGGGCCAGAAGATGTGCTGACAGATAAACACTCACTAATCTGCTCGGGCAGCTGAGTTACTGTGAACCGGAACATGCTCGCATCAGCAGCTATGTGTTGTGCATGCTCCACTCTTCAATCTGCTCCAGGGGCACCAGGGTCTACCGGTTACAGCCACTCTCGTTTCTTGTGACACACATTTACACTGAAATATTTTAGTTTTTTCAAACAAGATCTCAGTATGTAGCTCAGGATGGCTTTGAACTATTCATCTTCCTCCTCGGCTTGCTCAGTGCTGGGAGTACAGGTGCACACCAACACACCTAGCTCTTAATATTCTAAGTGAACATGTAATAATTGTGGGAGCCCACAAAGGTTTCCTAGTGAGATGTGAGCTTGCTTTACCCAGCAGGACTGCATAAAGGGATGAACTGACCATGTGCATGGTTACCCGGTGTTTGGAAGGGTCTGAACTTGGCTGTGCTAGGGGCAGGTCTTTTGCTCCACCCCTTGGCATTTCTATAAATAGCCCTTTAGAAGAGATAGAAAGGGCTGGTGGGTTTTGACATAGGCCCTCCCGAGGCTACCCTGTGTTTCTACCTGTCTCTCTCCCCTCTATAATTCTAAATATTTCTCACTCTCCCTACAAGAGTACCCTAGGGGTAAAAGTGGGAACGGGTCTCCCACAAATAATGAGGGGAAAACAGGTGTTAACATTACATTTCCACCACCTGACTTTCAAGGTCTTTAACACTTGGTCCCAGTCTTCCTAAGCAGTGTTACTGTCCATCAACACATAGCTTTTGCTTCCAATCTTTTAAAATTTAAATAACACTGTATTATGCACCCTTGCAATTCCACAGGGGGTTCTGAGCGATGCAATGTGGGCAGGACTGACAGGAAACAGCCCCCAAAATATTCAGGCACTGAGGAGTCGAAATCACGGCTTTCTGAAAACTCACCCATTCATCTTACCTATCAACTCTCTGGGCTGGGCTGTCCTGCTGGGTCCATTGCACGGAATGTTCTGGTAGGGGGCAGGTGAGGTGGTATTGGCCCAGGACTCAGGGGCTGGGAAGCTGAAAGCAGGCGGGCGATTGCGGTCCTGCAGTTCTTTGCCCTGAGCCAGGCTGCCTTGTGGAGTACTTGCCTCTTCCACACAAGGCTGGGCTGAGCTAGATGAAATTCTTCTTTGGTACAAGGGCCGACCAGGTCCTCTGGGCTCATACTACACAAAGAAAAGGATGTGTGGTGAGTCAGGCCACCTCCTCCCACACCCACATCACTTTCAGATCCGCAGTGATCTAACCTCACAGAGCAGGGGCAGATTCTCAAGGAAATTCTCTTCCATATTGTAGGGCTCTTTCCTCTTCACCTTCTCCCATTTAAATGCAACAGGTACTCCAACATGGTGTCAGGAGACCTGGGTCTGAAACTCATCTCTAGACTGTTATAACACCTGGCAGCCTGTGGCTGCTGTACCCAGTTGTCTTCAGTTATCAAGTCACACTGTTATTCCAGAGAACAGTGGAGTCTGAGTCTGAGTTGGAGTCCCAAGTCAGCTGCCCCACAGTTCTGGAGCAGAGCCAGGAAAGACTCATTTGGACTGTCCCAGCTCTGGTGGTTCTGTTCAGCCCGGCCGGCAAGGTCCACCTCCTCTAGCACAGCACTCCTTTCTGGGCGCCTCACTGGGCGATTAACTAGGAGACTTCCTAGTTAATCAGCTGATACCAAATACTCATTACTTTCTCCACAATATTCTTTTCACAGGTTTAAAACCCCAGTAACGTATGTATCTTCTCTTCTCTAAATTTCCTAAAAGTATGCAAACCACATTCTCTTGCCTTCCCGACAAGGGCTCTTTGCCCACCATTTTAAGATGGAGGGTTAGCTAGGGCTCTCCAGTTCCTCCTGGCATGACTGTGGTAGGTACTGGGTATCAGCCCAATGACCGGCAGTGCAGAACAACTTGTCTAGAGCCTGGCCAGCAGGACTAGACTTCAAGCCTTGTCTCAGACCTACAAATGCCACCTTGGGCAAATGGCCTAACCTCTTGGGAACTTTACCTACATAATGGATGACCTCTAACACCTACTTCCTCTTGGGAATGTAGTGAATAAGCTAGGAAGGTCGGGTGTTCAGGTTGGTTCCTGGTGCATGTAAAGAGCCAACTGTTTTCTCACTGTTTTACTGTAAAATAAAAGATCTACATCTGATCACAAATGACACAATGGCTTTTAGTTATCTACCCTTTCTCCCCAGTAATAGTAAAATCCACTATTCAGCTTGAGTTCAATTGTGATTTAGACAAATCTTTCACCACCATTCTAAGTGTGTGTTAACTATAAAGGGATGAGCTGATCAGCACAATGATAGCTCGATGCCTTGGGGACTGCAAGAGAACACTGGTGGGCATCATCAGGCCGAGGACATGGAGGAGCTGGGGTGTAAGCATCAGTTTAAGGCCCCAACCAAAACCCACTAGGATAGAAATCAGAGAGGAACACTACATGGGCGGGAAAAGGTGGAGGAGAGCCAAGGCCAGATCACACCTGTATCTGAGAAAGGGAGGAGCCACTGCCACCTAGCCAGCTCCCTTTCTCATATCTATTTTATTTACATCCTTGTTTCTCATTAGATCATTCACATTCACCTTTAACTAACTTTCTTTCTTTCTCTCTCTCTCTCCCTCTCTCTCTCTCTCTCTCTCTCTCTCT